GTCATTTATTTACTGGTAATAGTGCATGTTTCAGTCGGGCAAATCTTGATTAATATTTGATACGCCGTTTTTTGCATATTTCAGACACATCCAGAAATATGCTCCCGATTTTGAATTTAATATCTCCGTGAATTTTTAAGTGAAATACAACTGTGATATATCAAAATCTAAGTTAACAGAAGTGTTTGAGGGAATTGACACATTAAGTCAGTTTGCTCAAACATTTCTCACAAATCCTTCAAAACTTAGACCGGATTTTGGTATGTACACGGTATATGAGCATTCTCAAAAGCATCCGGATTTTTGTATGTATATGAGAGGGTCCTGAAGGGGGGGGGGGGTCCCAATCTCATTTCCCACCTGAAATTTTGGCAAAATCCCAGTCCCAGCTGGATTTTTATTAGAAATCCCAGTCCGAGTTATTGAAATCCCAGTCAACTAAAAAACCCTTTATTTATCGGTAGAATAAACAGTTTTAAGACCTTTTAAGCCAAACAAGCATTCAGAAAACCCAGAATTCCGGGCGCCAGAGTATGGTAGTGCTGTGAATAATATAGTTAACAATAAAAATCATGACCAAAGACACCAAAAACGGATCAAAATTGGGAATCGACTCACAATACTTCAATCCCATTCCCATTTTTGAGCTAGGACTTCATTTCCCATTCCCAGTGGTCAAATCCCAGTCCCAGCAACCCAAATCCCATTTTCCCAGTCTAAAAATAGATCAATCCCAGTTCCCATTTTACCCCTTCAGGGCCCTCATATGAGCATTCTCAAGAGCACACCGAATTTTGGTATGTATATGACCATGCTCATGAGCATACTGGATTTTGGTAGTAGCTTAATTATAGTCAATCAATGATAAGATTCTTAGTTATAGACCCATTGCACTGACGTCACACATCCCTAGAGTGTCCTCCAGATGCTCCCTAACAATGTCTGTTCGGGTACAACAACCACATGCAGCGCAAAAATTAACCATTTTAATACGAAATTATTATAAACTTTTACAAAATTTGCCTTGTTTACAAAAGTTATATTATGCATAGTTTGCTAATTTGTCCTCCAGATGCATCGTCGCCGGCGCTGTGACGTCATGTGCAATGGGTCCATAGTCAATCAATGCTACAACCTACCTTTGCATAAAAATCTCTCTTATTTGTAAATTGGTTTGTGATTGCTTCAGCCTGTCTGTCGCATTCTTGCTGCAGTAAATGAACGTACAATGAAGTATGTTAATACATATGAAATATTTAGTTATAATGTCTGGAAATTGAGAGTTGAAACCCAATGTTCTAAGATTTTCTGAACACTGCGCGTCCTCTAAGACAAGCGTTAAGTTGTCACGAAAATATTTCGTGCACTTAAATTGGATAAGACTCGCTACCAATCCCCGTTGACTCGATAGCTCAATGGGTAGAGCGGTGGTCTAGATACCCGAAGATGCGAGTTCAAATCCCGCTCGAGCCAACGAATTTTATGAATTTGAAACTGTTTTTTCTCAGTATATATGATTCACACAAACCTGCAGCTTTTTCAGAAGAGGAAAGATATGGCCAGGTCCTACAGAACAAATTGACTTTTCAACAACCTTGTAGCAAGTTATCAACAAGCCGTTGACAAACTTGTCAACAAGCTAGGAACAAGGAGTGCGAACGCATTCTGTTGACAAGTTGTTGGAACAGCATTGCTACAAATCTGCTGCAGGTTTGTTACAACTTGTGAGTTTTTACTTGTGTTAGCATACTCGTGTATACACGCGCTCGCAAAGGTGATCTGGATGCACGCTTCGCTTACACACGTAAAAACGCACAAGTTGTTACAGGTCTGCAAACAAGTTGTTACAAATCTATTCACAAGCCGTTGACAAGTTGTGTTCGCACTGCTTGTTCCCAGTTTGTTGTAACAAGTTTGAAACAAGCTGTTAACAACTTGTAACAAGCTTGGTGGCATTATCAGACTTGTTACAAGGTTGTTCAAACAAGTCCGATACAGTCATGATATAACAAGAATGTTACAACGTTGACGACACAAGGTTGTATTTTGTTATATAGGCTAATGACTGTATCAGATTTATTGGAACAACCTTGCAACAAGTCTAATAATATCAACAAAGTTGTTACAAGTTGTTAACAGGACTTGGCATATAATAAAATGTACGGATAAAAAACTACCGTAATAAGTCTCTACCAGTGGCTGATGAGCTTCAACAATCCTTGCGACATCTTCGTAAAGCATCGTAATTGTTTCAGCAAAAACAACACTCGCTCTACGTTCTAGACATGTCAAAAACGCAAATTAATTTTCAGTTCAGATTTCGTAAAACAGCTAATACTTTTCGCAGGCCTTAAAATCCGTCAGGTCCGTGACGAAATTAGTGAGCTTAAGCAAGTGACGTTTTTGACAACACGGACGTCGACCGGAAGTAAAGTTGACGTTTTTCACCAATCACAGTCCTTGACCCAGTCTTCTGACGTTACTCATGCCGTTCGTGTTGTCAAAAACGTCACTTGCTTAAGCTCACTATTGTCCGTCGTATAGAGAAAACCACCAGACATTCAGTCCGACCTAAGACGTGAAACTGAGGTTTATTGTTTGTCCGATCCGAGTGATTGATGTGCGACCTATACCCGTAGCTGTAACTTTGTCCGACGTAAATCAAAATGTACCCTAGTCCAGGACTAGAGCACAGAATACTACAGAAGTCCATCTCCATTGTTTTTAGCACAGATGAAGTATATATCCTTACTTAATCTATGGTTTTTAGCGTAAGCGCTATTCGTCATGATTCGTCACTCAGCAAGTACCGTAGACAGAAGCAGTCCCCCCTGGAAATACTAAAAATGGCGAACGTCCAGGGGGGTGACTGCTCCTGTTTACGGTACTTGCTGAGTGACGAATCATGACGAATAACGCTTACGCAAAAAACAATGGGGGTGGACTTCTGTGTAGTATCATAGAATATATAATAGACCAGAAGCCTCACTGTACACCTTTCCTTAACATTTTCGTGTCCGCGATTTTCGCCTTGCGGATCACGAATTGCGCACGCTAGATGACGTGTGTGACACTTGCTGCACAGAAAAGAAAATGGACCAGAAGCCTCACTGTATATCCTTTCCTAACATTTTCGTGTCCGCGATTTTCGCCTTGCGGATCACGAATTTCGCACGCTAGATGACGTGTGTGACACCATGGATAATAAAATAAATGGATATGAAACTAGCTGACGTGACCTAATGTTTTTACTGGGATTGATGGCGTGGCTGGGTGCCTCAACCTAGTCACAGAATAGGAAGTTATACCAGAAGCGTAACTCGAGCAAATATTTGTCCGCGTTTTTACAAGCTATTCGTCATCAATCACGCCATCCTGGCTAGTACAACCGGCACTTTGTACCTACCAAATCCTGATAAAAACTTCCGGCTGTACTAGCCAGGATGGCGTGGCCTGACGTGAGCGAGTTAAAATTTTCGTGGACGTCAAACAATAAGGGAAACGACGAGAGTTACGCTTCTGGTATAACTTCCTATTCTGTGACCTAGTTGAAAACCAAATTCTCAAAAACGGCATGTTTAGCAATAATACAGCTAAACATTTTAGTCAAAGAGCAAATAAATGTAACCACGCCATTCTACGATGAAAACTCTAAGTATTCCCAGTCAATTTTAGCAAATATTTCAAGCACTAAACAGTGAAAAATACATCGCAAATTTCGCAAAAATTTGTGACGCCAATATCGTACCTACAAATGTAAAAAAATACAAAACAAAGACGAAAAACATTTACCTTGAATACTTTGTCGTGGCTTAGGCATGTTTTTAAAACAATTAGACCAGTTTACGCTTCAAGATCACTCTTTTAAAGTGGAAAATATAGCAAAACAACAAAAATGCCGAGAACTTTGGTAACATTCGCAATACGCGTGACGTCACGTTTTTTAACAAGGATGCAGTCAATGACGTCAGAAGTTTCCAATCCATTTATTTTATTATCCATGGTGACACTTGCTGCACAGAATAGAAAATAAGACCAGAAGCCTCACTCAGGGTCACTTTTTTACCTCTCCCGGTCATTCTGACTGGCCACATTTTCATGCCTTCCAATGTGATTGCGGACGTCTTGAATTAAAACATGAAACTATGATGTGTCGAAACAAGTTTCTAATAGTTTGTTTCACTTAACGTTAGTGTAACTGCATGTAAACGTATCAATGACCGGTCAAAAACAGATTTTGACCGAGCAAAAATCAAGTTGACCGATCATTTTGACCGGAGACCTATCTCCCATTATTTTAAGCCCTATCAGTATAAACAATGAACTGGAAATGTGTAACTAAGTGCAGGATTTTCACCGCGGATTTTTACCAAGATTCAGATTGTACTTTTCCAAATTGTACTGATATTCATACATATTTCCAAGCCAAACTGAAACTCAAAGTCATTGGGCATCCATCCGATATCAGTCATATCACAATATGTCCGACCCATCGGCATTGGATATTTGTCAGACGGTTCTCTGTCTCATATTTTAAGGCCTGCTTTTCGCGTTTCACTTTTTTCTTGGAAAAAAATCGGCTTATTGGCTGACCTGTATCTTGTAATCCCCGAGCTATCTCTTGGTTTTTCTGAGATTTTGTGGCTATCTATGAAAAAGCAAAATAATGGATTTTTTACATAGTTCACTATATATATATATATAACCATTCACGAAGCACTAAAAAGTATTCTGCATTTTCAACTTTCCCTACCTGTGCATTTATATATCTCGCAAATTTTTCTAAACCAATTTCATGGAGACCAACAAGCGGAAAAATTTTGAAAAATCTAATTCAGACAAAAACAAAATAAAGTAAGACCATTATCAGGTCTTATCATAACATACTAAACAAAAACAAAGAGCTTGACACTGACACTTGAACAAAAGAAGAACAAGATAAGTAAAAGGAGATATGTTTATTTAAAGCAACACTCTATTTAGAAACTTTGAGGGGACCAGTTCAGTATCAGGTACTTATAATATTGTTGATATTGGTACTTCAAACTTTTCTTTTTTCAACCATACTATAGTCACTGAATCTAACATTCTAACTAGGTGCCACTTTCGAGAAATTCGAAGTCAAATTTGATAGAAATTCGAAGTCAAATTTTTTTTTTTTACAAAAACAAACTGAATCACGTAATAAAAACCGCAAAAAAGGCCTATTATGAAACACAATTTCTTAAGTATAAAAATGATATTAAAAAGACATGGCAAACTATTAACGAAGTTCTTAACAGAAATAAAACTAGATCAAAACTACCCGATACTTTTTTACAGAAGAATTCAAATAATAATGTTTCAAATCCTCTGGAAATTGCTAACAAATTTAACGAATATTTTGTGAAAATTGGTCCACAACTAGCCAAAAAAATTCCCAAAAATGATAACATAACGTATGAAAGCTACCTTAATGGTAACTATGTTGAAAGTATGTTTATAGAACCTGTGACTGAATATGAGCTGCAAGTTGAGATTAATAACTTAAGTGAAACTAAAAGTGCAGGACATGATGACATAAGCGCGAAAATGATAAAGATCATCAGTGAAGAAATAATTAAACCTCTAACATATATTTATAATCTATCATTTGAAACTGGAAAAATACCAAATTTTTTGAAAATAGCTTTAGTTACTCCTATTTTCAAAGCTAAGGAAAATAATCTATTTGAAAACTATCGACCTATATCGGTATTAACTTGTTTTTCAAAACTACTTGAAAAACTTATGCACAAGCGATTAATTAACTATGTTGAAAAACATCGTATACTTTCAGAACATCAATTTGGTTTTAGAAAAAAATAGATCAACTGAGCATGCCATTCTTGAACTAACCGATAAGATATCCAAAGCAATAGATGAAGGTAAATATACTGTAGGTATTTTCCTTGATCTCTCTAAAGCCTTCGACACTGTCAATCACGAAATTCTCATAAAAAAACTTCAACACTATGGAATTAGAGGTATAGGTCTACAATGGTTTATAAATTATTTACAGGAAAGAACTCAAATGGTCAAATATAAACAACATAGGTCAACTGAAATGAGCGTTAGGACTGGCGTCCCACAGGGTTCAATTCTTGGACCACTACTATTTCTAATATACATTAATGACATTGAAAACTGCAGTAAAATTCTTTCTTTCGTCTTATATGCCGATGATACAAATGCCTTTTATTCAAATTCGTGCCTAAATACTTTAGCTAGTACTATACAAAATGAAATGAATGAAGTAGTGCAATGGCTTAACGCCAATAAATTATCAATCAATGCATCGAAAACAAAATTTGTCATTTTTAAATCAAAAAATAAGTCACAGCATCAAGAAATCATAGTAAAAATAAATAATGATATAGCTGAACAAGTACCTTGGGTAAAATTCCTAGGTGTATTAATTGATCAAGAGTTGACATGGAAGAATCACATCAACTCCGTTCTGAAAAACATAATTAAATCTGCGGGTCTGATTGCTAAACTAAGACATTTTACGAACAAAAACACTTCGAAATTGATTTATTATGCATTGGTCTATCCATACCTCACGTACGGAAATCTAGTTTGGGGAAGTACATACCCAACAAGGTTACAAAAGTTACTAAATGTGCAAAAGAAAATTGTACGACTAATCTGTTTTAAATCTTATATGGATCATTCTGAACCAATATTTTTACAATTGAAAATCTTGGAATCTACAAAATTAATGATTATCTATGCAGCTTATTCATGTATCGCTTCAATTATTGTCAAAATTTGCCGGACTTTTATAATGATTACTTCAAACAAAATAACGAACTATACAACTATAATACTCGAAATTCTACCAAGTTGCATGTGAGCTATAAGAGAACAAACTATCGCAAATACACTGTATTTAACAAAGGAGTTTCTATATGGAATTGCCTTGATGAAGAAATTAAAAATATTAAATCATATTTTTCTTTTAAGAGAACTGCAAAATCCTATTACTTGATGTCTAGTTGATGTAAATATTTCAGAAATATTAATGACAGTATTCTGTAATGTACTAAATATTCCTTAAACATTTTCCATATTTGTTTGTAAATAGTTTGTGTTTTTCATTGCAAATTGTCCTTATGTACATAATCTATTTTTATATTACTGAACACTAAAACTATAGGGGCCTCGTCTTAAAAGTCCAACAGGATTTCCAGAGGTCTCTAGCCCGTTTATATATTCTTAAATATTCAACTTGTAAATATTATTTGTGGGTAAATAAAACTAATCTAAAAACAAAAATAGTCTTAAAACAGTCTTCAATCACTTAAGGTGGCTCCCTACAGTTCTCTAAAATTCTAGGTATTTTGAGTATCGTTCGCTTTGAACCGAATTTATATTAGATACACTTAAGACAAGGCCATATGATCATTTCCAGGAAAGTTCAGAAGCTGTGTGCTGTCCATTTATGAACAAATTAAAACAGTGTTTGTGTTGCCATGGCAACCATGACGTTTAATCTTTTGCACTTTTATTGTCTAATTTCACAATAAATTGACAATATCTATATTTTCCTTCGGTGAATTTTTCTGAAATTTCTTTTTAAGATTTATGGTCCAAGAAGGAAAAACATATCAAAATTTAAAGGGAATTTACAAATAAGTTTTCGAGATATTCGTGAATGACGGTTACAGAAAAAGTTATTTGTAGAATTTATTAAAATTTGGATATATTGTACCACTCGTCTTGTATAACAAAAATACAAAGTTTAAAAAAATTTCACCGAAGAAAACACGAGAAAATCATCGCTAAAATCGGCGTGGCCAGCATGAAAAAAAATCGACTCGACATGAGCACGATCTGCGCATGCGTGTAAATTGTAGCGTGTGATTTATAGTAATTTCAACTTTTTGGCTTACAATACATAAGAAAACAGATATTTCTGACTTGTTTGATATGAAAATAAAATATTAATCTTGAAAATACTAATAAAAAACACTATTATAGGCATTGTATTAAATCCAGAGTTAGTTTACATTTGTTTTTGTTGTTAAAATCGGTGTGAAAACTTTTCAAAACATCGAACTACAAGTTTAACTTTTCATATAAAACAACTCATAACTGTTTTATTTGATTTAGCAGATAAAACGATACCTGTGAATTGAATTGATTGACAGAACTTATATAAGTTTCGGCAACAGTTCACTACTGTTCAAGAGTTAATAGAAGACAGTATCATTTCAGTTTGACAGCTCGCAAAACAACAAGTTGAAAATTTTGAGCAATATGAAAGACAATACTGAACGTAAATACGTAAAAACACACTAAAAGATAGGTTAAACTAGTTAATAACATACGTACTGTTCGAATTCAGAAAAAATTAGGATTATAATGAAAAACTGGGGCTTTCTTTGTAGATAAAAACGCCAAAAAACTTCCCACGGCTTGTTTCAATATTTTTGCCGAACAGTAAACACGACGATTCCACGCGCAGGTCGCGAGGATGAAGTCTGATCTATATAAATCGTATTTAAACTGTACTAACTGTAGGGAGCCACCTTAAGTGCTGGTGTAATGGAAAAGAAGGTAAAATTGGAGAAATGAAGCACTCCAAAAGAGATTAGAGTGAAAGAACCTAATATTCTTTGCTGCCTGAAATGCAAATTTAAGGTTGTGTTATATATTGAATATCCATGATTCCCAGTTACATGTTTTGAAACTGTTTTTGTGAGTGGTTGGGTTAAACAAACCTTTGCCAGAACTTAAGAGCCTTTAGATTCAAATTGTTTTTGGGGAATATGTGCACCCCCCCCCCCTAGCTCCCTCACCAATATTCTCCCACCCAACCACACCATTATTCTGTCACTTATATGCAGGTAAAAAATCCTTTCATCCCCCCCTCCCCCCACAGTCAAACACCTGTTGCTTACGTAACATCCCTATATGTGCAGTTCTAAATTTTTCTGAAAATAAACCCTGGATAAATGGTATACTAATATGCATGGACAATGGATTAATTAATGGAATCCTGTCCATTGACCTTAAGAAAGTTTTTGATATAACTGATCACAATATTCTATTAAAAAAACTCTCATGCTATATGGTTTCAGTAACAATACTCTTGATCTTTTTCGCAACTATCTCTCGGAACCAACTCAAGTTACTGTTATTAATAATACATCATCGCAAAATATTTCACTCCTATTTCTAATATATATTATAAAACTCATTAATAATTCATGAAGGAAATTCAAAAGAAATGAATGTTTAATCAATATATCATATAAAGATCGGCTACTCATGTTTTATCTAGTACTTAACGATCTACCAGATTGTAATCTCATGTCTGACTGCCGCCTTTTTGCTGATGACACAAATTTGACATGTGCGGATAAAGACTACAATCAAGTTTTCTCTGCTATGGACAGCGACTTAAATATCCTAAAAAGTTGGTTCGATGCTAATAAACTAAGCTTAAATGCTCTTAAAACTAAATGTATGTTTATATCCACACACCACAAGTTTCACGCCACAAGATTCTAAGCTTTTTGTCCCAAGACCTTTGGCTGAGTCTCTTAAGAAAAGTTTTACTTATAGAGCAACCGTCTATATAGGAATAGCCCACCTGTCGAAGCTGTAAATGCTACATCTGTAGTTAATTTCAAAAATATTACTAGACAATCCTAATTTTCTTCTACTTTTCTTTAGTATTGTGATTCTTAGTTGTAATTGTAATTTGTAATTGTAATAGTATTATGTAATTGTAATAGTAATACGTAGATATTTTTAATGTGCACGGCTCCGTGGAAAAGCACATTCTGTGAAATGGACTCCGTGTGTAAATAGAGTTTTAATAATAATAATAATGGATATTTACCGAGACACGGAACGTCGAGGCAAATATCTAGCAGTGCACGTTTGTCGCAAGCATGCAAGTAAATACTTGACTAGTTTTTTGGACTGACAAGGCTCGTTGACAAAGAAAAATTGTCAATTTTTTGCCGTACGCACGAGATCAGCAAGTAATACTTGTCAAGGAAAACTTGGTCGCCTGTATATGGGGTTTAATATATTAAAAACATAAGACTACTGAAAATTATACGACTACAAAGACTCTGCCTACCTGCAAATGAACCAGGTTTGTTAAATTTCGAAAGAAAACTTTACATTCTTCCTCTTCTGAGTTTGTGAGAATAGCCCATTCGAAATCGGAGTATGGCGTCATTTCATTTCTCGCTAAAGACCCAAGGACAATGACTTCATGATCACAAGGTGGTGTTCCAAGTAACTCCAAACATTCGTTAATTATCGTTGCCAAGAACAGCTTCATTCCAACCGAAATTGTATCAGATAGTCTTTCTATCTCCTCGGTTTCATCTTTGAGCATCTGTCGCACATCACATTTGTTCGATGATTCTGTGTTCTTAGACGATCTACGGCACTCTATAGACTCCAACGACTTTTTTACCTCATTCCTTAAATTTTTCAGCTCATTTTCTTTAAGCTCTGAATTAAATTTACAGTGAAGAGGATTTCCTCCAACCATTTCAACCATGTTGTCTTGGATATCAAGTAACTTACGAGAGACGATTTTCGACAGCGTTTTCGACAATTCGCCTTCCACGTCCTCTGTTTTTAAAAAATTGCGCACAAAGTTATACAATGATGCAGCTTGAAGCAGAAATCGTTGTCTCCGCGGCAACTCCAAATTTTTGTCTTCTGCTCTCCTCTCTAGGACTTCAGCTAAGTAGCGATACGGCTCTGGATTTCTTTTGTATGAGTTGTCCAACATAACTGTCCGCATGGCCTTAACCGAGTATTTTTCAGCGACCTCTAATTCTCCTTTTGCCAAAGCCCGTTTTGCAGTTTCAATCAACTCGGCTGGGTCTGACTGTTAAACAAAGATGTTTTAATATTTTAAAACGGTTTGGTTACGAACCATATCTTTTTGTCATTACGAAAGCCTTTTCTACACGAACAAATTTTCTTCAACAACTTTTTTCTCGTGTACACAGCAACTTGGCTGTTTTCGGTCATGGATAACTTGTCACAAATTATGGACAACTTGCCACAAATTGTGAACAATTTGCAACAAATTGGACTTGCACGCAAAAATTGTCACACAAATTTGTCGTAGAAAATCAGTTCATGTGAATTGGGTTTAAGGGATATGACAAGAAATATTAGTTTGTTTTATTTGAAAGAACTTTTAAATCACGTAGAAAACTTCTTACACTTCTTGAAATATTTTTATTGAAAATTGATTGAAAATAATGAGCTGCCGCCATCTTGGAAAATTTTTTGACCTGAGTAAATGTGCTCATAAAACTATTCCTGGCATTGGCGTGGCCTAGAGTGTGTCCACCCTTCTTTCAGGCTAGGAACGCCAGTGATTCTTGGGTATAACTGAATAGCAACAAATAGATGTTTAAAATGTTTTACCCAATTCCAAATTTAAAACAGCTACAAAGGTATAGTTTTGATGTCATCATATTGACCAGTAGTTGTCGAGATAAACACTATATGCCTAGCCCGGCTTGAGATGTAACATGTTTCACTCATTTATTTTATACTTTATAGCGAGCGAAATCATTGTCCGTTTAAAACATGATGACTTCCTCAGTTGTGGTTCGTTTCTGCCACTGAACTGTTTACAATCAGTTTTTAATATAAATCAAGAAAGTATGCTCGGTGTTCATAAATCGGCTTAGGCCTGTTTCAAACGTCACACTTCTTGTGTGCCGAACGCATTAAGGCCTGATTCCACGGGCGCTTTTTCTCGGCGAAATGCGAATTATTTCGCCCGTTTCTTTTGAATTGCGACTACTCGAATAAATTATTTCTGCTTGATTGCTCACAATTCAAAAGAAACAGGCGAAATATTTCGCATTTCGCCGAGAAAAAGCGCCCGTGGAATCAGGCCTTTAGAAACAATACTGTAGATAATGTGCAGCTGATTATATATTGTTTCTAATGCGTTCGGCACATGAGAAGCGCGACGTTTGAAACAGGTCTTAGGACCACTTTTAATTACCTCAATAGTATTTCCATCTTTGTAGTCTTCAGGCAAGAATGAGTCGATAAAACCTAGAAATACAGTATATAAATGTTGACTTTTGTGGATTTTCATGAAGGGCAAAATTGGATGAGTTGTACAGTCATAATTTATTAATACACTGATACTGTACATATGTACACTACATGCATACGTCACGTCGTTGGCTTTGGCCTGTTCTAAGCCCTAACTTTCCATAGGGATCGTGAGCTAGACGCTGCACCTCCTCTAATTTTTTTTGTTGACTGTTTGAGCACTTCCTTGCCCAAACTATAGGCCACAAAATGTCAGGCCGTGGACCGTTGGCCAAAATTATTTCGCTTCGTGGCAAACCCCTGGGGAATAGATTTTCTGTGGTTCAATGCATAGTACCATAGATGCTCGATTACCACAAAAAGTTCCCAACAAGCAAAAAACTTGCCAAACACCGAGAAAATGGGTGATCAATGATTATCCTATGGAACGCCATACTGGACAAAATTACTTTAGGATTATATACGTAAAACTTCTCTCGCGCGTACATCTTATCTGCATTCTTGCAAGGCTTGAATACACGCGTATAAAACATCATGCTTCGCGTGTAAACCGGCTACTGTACTAACTGTGCGCAATACTTAGAAATATCCCCGTAATACCTGAAAACATCGCCCGGAAACGTTAAACCTCGCCCTTATGACCTCTAAATGTGGCCCGTAAGACTTATAAATATGGCCCGTAAGACTTCTAAATGTGGTCCGCGCGTAATACTTCTTGGCCGTAATTTAATATGAAAGTATTATATTTATAGTAAGACTGTCTGTACCAGTGTTGGTAGTACCAATGTGAAAATGCTGTGCTGAGTGGTTATATTACTACCTTAAAAATAAGCAGAAACTCGACGTTTCGAGCGAAGCCGAAGGCTCTTTATATGACGTATCATGGGATGAAAAATCCCCCTCCAGACTATATATAATGACATATATATATATATGTTTGTAATTGTTTTGTTTTCATGTTAATTAAAGTCATTACAAATTCACATTTCTTTATTTAAAAGTCTTACGCACAGAACGTTCGAGTTTATAGACAACATGTAAACAAGTATTATGTACGGACTTCACAAAAAAATAATACTTTCATATTAAATTACGGCCAAGAAGTATTACGCGCGGACCATATTTAGAAATCTTACGGACCACATTTAGAAGTCTTACGGACCATATTTAGAAGTCTTACGGACCATATTTAGAAGTCTTACGGACCACATTTAGAAGTCTTACGGGCCATATTTAGAAGTCTTATGGGCGAGGTTTAACGTTTCCGGGCGATGTTTTCGGGTATTACGGGGATATTTCTAAGTATTGCGCACAGTTAGTACAGTAGCCGGTTTACACGCGAAGCATGTTTTATACGCGTGTATTCAAGCCTTGCAAGAATGCAGATAAGATGTACGCGCGAGAGAAGTTTTACGTATATAATCCTAAAGTAATTTTGTCCAGTATGGCGTTCCATATTATCCTCTATGAAATTTTTATTACAGCAAGAAAATGTGACATTTTGTATTCAATTACAACAAAAATGACTTGCATCATCAGAAAGCTTACAAAAAACCGCACCTAGGACTTTTAAACTGTTTTTTGATCCTTCAAATAGTCTTTGAGTTATTGCTGTTTTAAATGTGAAAATTGGACCGAAATGTCGCAATAAGGACTGGGTACTGGGACAAAAACGCGTTTTTGACAGCGTATAACTCGAAAACAATTTGAGATATAAAAAAACTGTTTAAATGCCTTATATGTAGATTTTTGTAAGTTTTCTGATAATTCAACTCATTTTTGCTGTAATTGAATACAAAATTTCACATTTTCTTGCTGTAATACAACTAGGAGTTACTATCGCAAGGAAAATGCTGCCGATATGTACATGTAGGATGTGCTACAAAAAGAGCGTTTTTCACTGTATGTATGATTTATTGTCTTACACATCGTCGTTCCTCAGTTACCTTCGTACAATTATATCTTACATCTAATCTTATGAAAAGTATATTTTAATATACTTAACAGTGCGACTTTGATAGTTGACACATAATACGTCAAATGATAAAATGTGAATATTATTGAATGATTTTGTCACTCGTACAACTTTTAATTTGGCTATTCAAACAATTGATTTAAAATAGTTGAATTTATACTTACTGGGATGTTATTGCTTATTGGGATGTTGAAATTATGTTTGTTTTAAATACATTTAATTGATATTCCATAAATTCATTTTGTATGATTTCATTGACCTTGACGTTGTTCAAAATCATTTGTATTGAAACTGTATGTCTATGACCTATGTTATGTACTATATTAACCCATTGAGTCGCATTGCACCCTGATGCACCCTACTTTGAACAGTATTTTACTCTGTCTAACGGCAGACGATTTTACTCGTCAAGGGGAGAGTGCTGGCGCTTAATGGGTTAACTGATCTATCTGCCCATGTGTCTAGTTAACCCATTGGGTCGCATTGCACCCTGATGCACCCTACTTTGAACAGTATTTTACTCTGTCTAACGCCAGACGATTTTACTCGTCAAGGGGAGAGTGCTGGCGCTTAATGGGTTAACTGATCTATCTGCCCATGCGTCTAGTTAACCCATTGGGTCGCATTGCACCCTGATGCACCCTACTTTAGTACTTTACTCTGTCTAACGCCCGAGTATTTTACTCTGTCTAACGCCAGACGATTTTACTCGTCAAGGGGAGAGCGCTGGCGCTTAATGGGTTAACACGCCCAAAATCTGTACTAAAACTGCTCTTTCTGTTTTGTGATTGGCACAGTTTAATCAAAGAATCCTCCCGTTGAACCAGAGCCTTCACAATATTTCAATTTATTATTAACTGAAGGCTCTGGAATCCAGGATAGCTTGCCATTGAATACAGTGCAATGCTTATATTTCTGAATGAATAAGATCATACTCAGAACAGTCAGAACTGCAAAACTGTATTGTTAGAAAGAAGTTGAAGTTGTGAGCATTATTGTGGTAACACAGCCATATGTATATATCAATGTATGTCAGTAGAATCATGTTTATAGGCTTTATCTATAACTGAGGCCTTATACAAGTCATATCTTATACAAAAGTCAGTTGATATGCTATATTACATGTAATTGCTGATAAGTCCATATATGCAGACAACAATCCACACTGGGTAGCTCTAGGAATCTTGTTAAGCCTGATTTAACAACATCCGCGTTTGTTTTTAAACTATAAACATTTAGAAATAGAACGTACCGAACACTATTATATACTCACCGCCTTTGGCTTTGCACATATTAAGTGACATAACAAACAAATAAACTAAAAGTTCATTTGCTTCTTGTATCAGCATAAAGGCATTAATCAGTACTGTCGATTTGGTCGGGAATAGATCAGTGATTCAGTGGGTATTATAATTGCCGATATATTCTTGAAATCATTTTGTGTCAATGCCTCTATATCGAAGTTTAATACACTAAAGTGACTAAACAAGTATAAACAGCAGA